ATAGGCGAATCATACAAAAAAAACCCCCCTAAACTTGACTATCAGTTGCAGATTAGCCCCTAAACCAAAGCATACCACCCCTTATACTCTTTCACAGTGGCAAATAAGCCCTTGTTTGAAGGTTGACGTCATCGTTCCGTCAAATAACTAAAGGTACTCTTGTTTACTCCACTGGCTGCTGAGTTGGGAACAATATGGGTCCTTTGTCATCAAACCTATTAATATTAAAACATTTTATGAAACAACAATTTAAAATTAAGAATTTTGAGTGCTTCTATTCATGCAGAGCCAAAACTTTTTTCTTTTTTTAATCTGCCGCAAATAATTAAAGTATTTTACAAATTTTCATTAAAAAAATTACAACTTGTTTTTGATATTTCTCTTTATTTATGGGGATTGTGAGGGATAAATTAAATTCAAACTTAATTTTCTATCTTTATTTTGCATTTTGTGTCCAAAAATTGTTCTTTATTTTTTTTTATTATTTATCATTCATACTTAATTTTCTTATTTTTCGGAATATAGAGTTATAGAGAAGATGTGAATTTTATGTTGTACATAGGATTTAGAGTTTATCATTGATGATTCACCGTTTGGTTTGGATCAAAATTATGTGTTTTATTTTTTTTCTTCGTATTACTTTGGCTCTAGGATTAGACTAACTATAAAAGGAGAAATCATATATATTTAAGATAAATTAAGTTTAAATTTTTTTGATGATTCTATTGTTAATACACTTTTTTTTTATTAGGACAAGTGATTCAAGAGGAGGGGAGTGGGGAGGGGGATTGAACCTTTATCATGGTGAAAAAGGCTTACATTAAACTTGCAGGGCCACTAATCATTATTGTTAATATACTTAAGTAATAAATATATCTATACATTTTTTAATCTAATTTTTCTTGATAGTTATACTATTATTATTATTATTATTATTACCCAATGCCTAGATTGATTAGTCGTATTAATAGGATTCTTTTTAACAATATTTGAATTAAATAAATAATAAATACTAAAAATTTTAAAAATTGAATTTATTAGTGAATAAGTGTTTTTTTATAAGCGAAATTTACAATTTAAGTCTTAATACTAACACTTAAAAAATTAAAATTTTTAAATATATCAAACTAATTAAGACTATTTAAAATTACTTGAAATAGGATTAGTATTTAAAGTGTGTGGAAACTGCCAAAGAACATTGTAATAGTAATTAATAAAAAAAAATACTAAAGTGTTACATTTTGTAAATTTGAAATAACTGTGTACTTTAATTTAAAAAGTATATTATACTTTTACTTTTTTATTTATTTTGAAGTGATCCCACTTGCCATGCAATGTTAGCCCAACTCTAAAACTTACAAAATGAAGGCTCCGTTAGTTTTTTTGACGGAACAATGCGTCAACCGTCAGGCAAGGGCTCATTTGCCACTGTTGGAGAGTATAAGGGGTGGTATGCTTCTGAATTTGATTTAGGGGCTAATCTGCCACTGATAATCAAGTTTAAGGGGTATTTTGCATGATTTGCCCATAAAAATATATCTTCGAACTCTATAATTGAGGTGAGTATTGGGTACGGTTACTTATAAATACTTTACTTGTTTAGATAAGTATATCACTTGAATTATAAAAAAATTAGGTAAGTAATAAGTATAAAAATAGTATATTTGTAAATATTAAGTTAAGTAACAAATATAAAAGTTAGAATTATTTACTTGATTTATTTAACTATTTTATTTAACTAACATGTTATATGTACCTGTATAATTAAAATTTTATATATATTTATTATACTTAATATTTATATAATAATAATAGTTTTTAAAAATAAAAATAATAAAAAACAAAAAAAAATCGCATACTTATCATACACGTAGTCAATAACTTTTTAAATTATGTTAGAGTGTATTAGTTGTTACAAGTAATATAATGATGAAAAAAGTGTCAAATCCACGAGCATTGTAATTAATTAAATACTAAAATAATTAATATAAATTTTTTTAAACAATCAAAAAAGAAAAAATTTTAATTGAAAATAATAAAATGAAAATAACAATTAAAGTAAAATTGATCAAAATATGAGGTATTAAGGCATTGATTTCATCATAATCAATCAATTTAAATTCTGAATTAATATATTTTCAAAACTAATTTGTTGAGTGTTATTGCATGTGATGACGGATTTTCCTAAATTAATTAATTAGCTTTCTCAAGAAATTAATCCTTCACTTGTTTGTTAAATTAGTCATATCTCCATGTAATTTTAAACAAAGTAATGAGTATTAAATTTTACGAAAACCTCTATGTTAAGAAGGAGAAGCTCTTAATTCTCTTTTCTTCCTTCACTATCACATGTGATGCTAATTACTTTTCGATCTCATAATCTAACACACCATTTATATTATTATTGGTCTAATTTATACTTTTTTTTTAAGTTCATGCATAAATCACTAAATCAATTAAAATGTTATCATGCGTTTAATATATTAAGTTCAATAATATAAACTCATCATGCGAATAATTTTAATTGAAAATATAAAAATCACAAAATCTATCCTAAATGGATTAGATTAGATCATCACCTTAGTCATTAGTCAAATATACTAGTTCATATTAAAAATAATAAAACCTGAAATTATAATTATGAATATAAAAATATCAAAGAAAAACAAAACTTAATTTGAGGTAATTAAAATTCTTAATTTTTTATTATTACTAGATCTTTTATCTTAATCTTCAAGAATATTTAATAGAGGGCTGCCACCAACCTCCTAAATTTGGATAGGTATTTATAAGATTTTAAAAATTTCAATTGAAATAAAAGTAAGACTCACACCTAAAATAATAAATTAAATATGGATTTATGAAAATCGCGTAATGGGTCAACACCTTCAACTAGGTGCCGACAGCTTCTGTTTTGCGCACAAACCTCAAGTTTTTGGCCTTCCAAGTCATTTCTGTTAATGGTAAAATGACAGTTTTGGTCCCTAACTTTTGAACTCCACACAACTTAATTCTTAGATTTTTTATCTTTGCAATTTACTCTTAAAAATTATGATTTTTTTCAATTAAATCCTTTTTTACATAAAAAATGAAAATAATGTAAAATTAAATAAACTCTCATAAAATTCATCAAAATATTAATAATATTAAAGTAAAAATTTTACATTAATAACTATATAAATTTAACTTATCAATAATATTGCATAGTCAAAGTCAAGTTTTGAACATTAATAGGTTCCAAGTCAAGTTCTAAACATTCATTGCTCCAGGTCAAGTTCTGGAACATTCATAGGTTCCAAGTCATGTGTGCCCTAAAAAGGCTAAAGTTTTGGACATTCGTAGGCTCCAAGTTTCTGCACAAGTTAAATCAAGGAAAAAATTGTTTAACAATTAAATTGAAGGAGATTGAATTTAATAGCATAGAAAAACTATCTGGTATTTTCATACCTCCCAA